TTTCCAAAAATCAGGGAAGGAATCACAGCTCTTCCAAGTGCATCCTACTCCAGTGGTCATCATCTTGCAACAACAAATGGACATAGTCAACTTGGGAGAGCGAGATAGTAAGAAAAATGAAACAAAGAATACAAAAACGGACTTAGGTAATAGATAAAAAATAAATCTTTGACCAATTTTGACAATATATACGAGATAGTGAATTGCTCGTTTTGCTGCTAAGAATGTTGCTTCACTGTGTGATGTTAGACTATATTTATTCCACAGTCTACCGTATCGTCATTGCATTGAGTATAGTTGCCACATTTGTTTGGTGCTTTTGATATGTGTCTAGAGATCCTTGACAAAATCTAGAGAAGCATCTGCCATGTTATCGGTATTGAAATGGCATTTTCGAATCAATCATTTCCCGCTGCCGCAATGTAGCTCCCCGGTGTCTTTTCTACACATATTTTCATGGCAATTGTTCTGGTGAGCGCACCCCTTTGGTACCTCAACTTCGTGAATAGAAGCGCCGTACTAGATTGGCAGCTAGGTCTCGTCATTTTAGAGTTGAAATTGTTTGTTCTCTTGCACCACTCGTATGTGAAACACTCTCTCTGTTTTCTTGCTTCTTGATCTTCAAATATTGTAATATAACGCCAATCCTCTATTTTTGTGATTGACCTTTCTAATTAATATTTTTCTCAGTTTTTCACTCGACGTAGCGTCTTAGCGGCTTTATTACCGTGCTTAAGGTGGAATGATTTCAAAAAGTCAGTTTAATAAGCATTCAGAAGTAAGCAACGATTTTGAAGACTGGCTTCTGTACGACAAAGATCAAAAGCGAAGGATTTGACCAAATGTATTCTGATTTCCCCTTTCATATACACGATATTGAAATACCAGTAAATATCAAATAGTCAATATGAATGATGCCCGAACCAAAAGCGATTTATATCTTAATAAAGAGAATTATCGTGGTGTTTAAATGCAATAAGGACTCCGTCCAAATCTCTATAAGTTCTGAGTCTGTCTATAATTCTGAGATGAGGTATTATGTACACTATTTACATTATTCGGACTATTGTCCTCATCTCTGTCGCCATATTTATTACAACGTTTCGGCCTTTCAATATCTGTCTATAATTCTGAGATGAGGTATTATGAAATTATTTACATTATTCGGACTTTGTCCTCATCTCTGTCGCCATATTTATTACAAAAGTTTCGGCCTTTCAATATCTGTCTATAATTCTGAGATGAGGTATTATGTAAATTTTTAGATTATTCGGACTATTGTCCTCATCTCTGTCGCCATAATTAGAACATTTCGGCCTTTCAATATCTGTTATAATTCTGAGATGAATAAATGTAAATTATTTACATTATTCGGACTATTGTCCTCATCTCTGTCGCCATATTTATTACAACGTTTCGGCCTTTCAATATCTGTCTATAATTCTGAGATGAGGTATTATGTAAATTATTTACATTATTCGGACTATTGTCCTCATCTCTGTCGCCATATTTATTACAACGTTTCGGCCTTTCAATATCTGTCTATAATTCTGAGATGATATTATATAATTATTTACATTATTCGGACCATTGTCCTCTCATCTCTGTCGCCATATTTATTATAACGTTTCGACCGTTCTACGCCCGGCCTTCTTCAGGTGGTAGGAATGTCGAACTGAACCTTTATTTCGCTCACTGGGGTATATTTCTAGTTCCACGTTTGATGGATGTCAGTTATCAGTTATCTCCTGTTAATTTCCTCTGAAAGTTCTCCACTGAATTAAACGGGTATTGAACTCTCCCATACATCTAACCAACGATCCACTGTGCCATGTGTCCTTGAAGACATCTGGGTAAATTTCTAGACCATTTTTTACCAGTGCTCATATTGTTTTTGCTGTTATCAAATCATGTTTTTAGAGCTCATAATATTTGTTATCATTGCTTTTCTCTGGCACTCCTTATTACTGGTTCCCATATTGTATTTATTTCTTGGTCGGCTCAGGAATTTCGTGTCTATTTCTACAAGTTCTTTTGATTTTCCATGATTTTGAGGGATTTTTTTTTAATGCCTGATGTCATTGCTGCATCTCGACCCGACGTTGTTTGACTTGCGCGCATTTTAACAATGAGAATGGATGTTAATTTTCTGCTGGATAGATAGTAAAATCTTTGCATGCAAATGTTACCTTAATTTTGCAATATAAGTGACGCGAAACCAGAAAGAAATGAAACACAGATCACAGAAGTAAGAAACGCGCACAGGCATCCAACACATACTGATATACAGGCAAAAGACTATTTGGAATAAAACAAGACTAATAAAACGGTGGAGCAATGGATAGCGTCTCGGATCGAGGAATCGGAGAACCCGAGTTCGAATTCCAGTCGAATCCATTACATTCATTTTACTAGTATAGTTGAGAAATGTAAGAACCCTCTTCTTCTACCCCTAGCTATAGGTAAATAGCAGGACGAACCGGGTTCTATAGCCTTTGATGACAACTGGTCTACCGCAGAAAGAAACGGTAACCTACTGCGGGAAAAAATCTGCCTCGTCAGTCATGTATCGAAAGAACATGTTCGCCTAAGCGTATATCACGCATGGCACATAACTGACTGAGCCAAATACTAATAAAACCAAATATTAATAAATGCAACAGTTGTCGGAAATTGTGATTTTTTCAAAAAATATTTTAAGATTCTTTCGATCTGTAATGATAATTTAATTTTTCATCATCACCATTTCCTTCAACAAGAAGTTAGTGTTTCAAACGCTCTACTATCATTAATATGTCATCAAGTCAACGCAAAACCGTTGAATAATGAATAGCGACTTGAAATCGTTGAGTCGAGTTCGAATTCAATCGAGTTCATTACATTTGAGAAAGGTATGAATATATCTCTTCTCCCCAGCTATGGGTAAATAACACGAAAAATTGGGCTCTATAGTTTTTGTTGGCAACTTGACTAGGAGAAGAAAAACTCTGAATTCAAATTCAGCCTGAATAGGAGATGGGCTCAATCAGGCGGTCTTGTCCAAAAGACACACTCTTGTTGCTTTGATATTGTGTTTCCCTACGACCTTAAGGGGTTATGTCACCGTGGAATGTTTTTAAAGTGCGTTTTATATAAGGACATTTTTTTCTGCATGAGAACAACAAGTTGAAGAATTTCAGGAAAGATTTTATGAAAACAGGACATCACAAAAACAATCGAGAGAAAATGGTCGCTTCCCCTCATAGTATTGGTAGGCGGAGTCGGAGTTTCATTTACTACTGATTTGCATTAATTAAATACAATAATTAGCAAATCTTGTTAATGCTCAGGCAAACTAATTAAGACCTATTTAGCATGGGAGTGTAATCGATGGATCAATATCAGAAGGCTAGATAGAAATCACTGTTGATTTTGATTTGTAATCAATAGTGTGTTAATTTGGTTATTTATTCGCATCGTCAAAATTGATATTCATACACACACATATATACACACACATATATATATATATATAGTTGTATATTTAGGCAGCAATCCTTCGTTTATGCATGTTTCATTAAAAACAACAGACAAGGTACTATGGTTAAGCTTTTTTTCTTGTGTTTGAACAATAGATTTCTATTCTGGACAAAGAGTGTGTAAAAACTAACCAAATGTTTTATAGTTCCGAAAGAAAGAACAGTAAGATATATAATCCGGTGTTCTTATTGATATTTTTTATTTTTATTTTTACAAAACAGTGCTCAATGTAAATTTACAGTGCATAAATATTATAAATTAACTGATTGAAATGTTTTTTCGCTACACAGTTATAACCATGTTTGAAACATGGTTATTACTGTGTAGCGAAAAAAACATATTTTAAATTAGTTAATTTATAATCTATCTATAAATCAATATACTTATCTATCTATCTATCTATCTATCTATCTATCTATCTATCTATCATTTATACATACACACACACACACATATATATATATATATATATATATATTCTTTATTTTATGATATTACATCGAAAAACATTGTTACACAATTGTAGTCGTGTTTCGACGCGTATCAACGCATTTCATCAGGCGCCTGATGAGGAGCGTGTGTGTATACGTATGTGCCGCTATCCACTACTCCACCGTGCCTCCTCACACACATACATACATATATATATATATATATATATATATATATATATATACCCACTTCTCCCCTCTAGCTATGGGTAAATACCAGGACAGACTGGGTTCTATAACCTTGGATGGCAACTGGCCTAGGAGAAGGAAAACCTGTGGAGGGTCGTTTGGGGACCTTGTGGCACGTAGTGCACCAGGTCTCTGTAATCGCGCCTTCAAAAAGTGTGGATGGTCCTGCACGAAACCTTTACCACTATAATCAAATCTCATGTGCTGTTGTTTCCAGGGAGCTGATCTGCTTGACCCTCATACGTCGAAGACGACGGAAAGTCGAGAATATATATATATATATATATATATATATATATATATATATATATATAGAGAGAGAGAGAGAGAGAGAGAGAGAGAGAGAGAGAGTGATAGTTAAACAGATAGATAGATAGATGTGTGTGTCTGTGCATCTGTGTGTGTGTCTGTGTGTGTCTGTGTGCGTGTGTGTTAATATATTTCTTTCGGGAATGCCATTAGTACCCAGGGTATAGGGAAGAACACATTTCAAGAAGATATTAAATGGTGATTGAAGTTGCATTTGAAGATTGTTGCTATCAGTGAAGCAGGTAAACGAAGGTAGTTCCACAGGCGGGAAGTGCGAGAAAAAGAAGCTGTTGGAGTACAAATGGCAGTTGTATTTAGCTATTTCAACAGTCAAAGAGTGGGCGCTAGATGCCAATCTAGTAGGTTGCTTTAAATTTATGTAGGCGGCGCACGATGGAAAGCACTCGTCAGAGCAGTTGCCATGAAAATATTAGTAGAAAAGACAGAGGGAAGCCAAGGCGAAGAGAAAGTGAGTGAAGTCGAGATGCCAAGTTAGCATCGAGATCATTCTTTGGATTTTGTCAATAACCTCCCTTTTCACATCTATCTATATAATTTTATATCTATCTATCTATCTATCTATCTATCTATCTATCTATCTATCTATCTATCTCACTCTGTGCATCTCTTTCTTTCTCCCTCTCTATGTACCTGTCTGTTTTATATATCTCTCTCTTCGTCTCTGTCTCTCTATGTATGTATCCCTGTTCATATCTATCTATCTATCTATCTATCTATCTATCTATCTATCTATCTATCTCACTCTGTTCATCTCTTTCTTTCTCCCTCTCTATGAGATATATAAAACAGACATAGGTCTGTTTTATATATCTCTCTCTTCGTCTCTGTCTCTCTATGTATGTATCCCTGTTCATATCTATCTATCTATCTATCTATCTATCTATCTATCTATCTATCTATCTATCTCACTCTGTTCATCTCTTTCTTTCTCCCTCTCTATGTATCTATGTCTGTTTTATATATCTCTCTCTTCGTCTCTGTCTCTCTATGTATGTATCCATGTTCATATCTATCTATCTATCTATCTATCTATCTATCTATGTTATTCTGACTGTCCGAGCTTACTTCGGGATAATTTTTCTTTTCTCTATCAGACACTTGCGTTAGATGTAAAGTAATTTTGAATGGTTGCTCTCAAATCAGATTTGTCATGCTTCCTAAAAAGACTGGGAATACTTTATTTTGCTACCTATTTATATAATCTTCAATCAATATGTGTTAAAAATACCCACGAAGTAATTTTTGTCTATTTTTACTTGATCTGTTTCTCTGTAGAATGAAATATGGGCGAAATGAAAACCGCCCATCATTGGCCTTGGTTTATATAGATTTGTATTTCTGTATAAAGTACAAATGTTACGTTTGCATAGAAAGTGACTAATACAGAAAGCAATTCTCTATGAATGCGTACCAACTGACAAATATACATATTTGCTAAACGGTTGTTTCGTCAATAGAAATAAAGAAAGAATTTTTTTTTTTAGAAAAGAACTTGTAAACAACATCCCCAAAAGTAATTCTCCATTTTATAAACATGGCGGGTCGTATCTCGGCAAGCGCGCCATTTTGTCGTTCTTCGCTACTTGCAAATATCGATCTGACGAATGCCAAGACAACCGTTTTTTGCCGACAGTAATTACTTGTAGTAATTAAATCAGACTGAAATTTCCTTTTTATTGCCACATAGCTTCTAATTATAATTAAATCGAACAAGGTTTTTTTTTTCATTTTCCAACAATATTTCATTAAATAAACAGACTTTTTTTCTGTTGGGCTACGAGTGAAAAAAAATTTTCAAATCATAATGTGGCGATAAAACTTCATTTATTTTACACACAATCATACACACACAAACGCATATATATATATATATATATATATATATATATATATATATATATATATATATATATGTGTGTGTGTGTGTGTGTGTGTGTGTGTGTGTGTGTGTACATTCGTTCAGCAAAATGATTATCACAAGTTTATGCATAATATTTGAGCATTATATCTCTCTGTCTTTATTTCTCTCTTTCTCCCCTCTCTCTCTCGCTTTATCTTTATGTATAAATTCGTAGTAAATATGTGAGTATGTGTGTGTGTATTTGTATATATATAAGCATATTCCGTATCACTGTATATGTTATGAAGTTCCTATCAATTGTGTGTTCCATGCAGGGGTTTATATGTGTGCGTGGTTGTCTGTGTGCATTTCTTTTAAACAATACATCTACAGCCAGACAATAAAGTCACTAAAACGAAATGAGTTACTGAGGGTGAAAGAATATGGGAAAAACACTATTAAGAAGAGAGGACAATAAAATAACAAGAATTTATTAAATAATTTATTATATATATATATATATATATATATATATATATATATATATTTTATTAAATATATATATATATATAATTTAAATAGAATAATAAAAGTCATTAAAATAAATAATATATATATATATCTAATAAGAATTCAAGAAAATTATTCACTTTTACTGACTTTTGTTTATTAGGCATTAAATTACATCGCTTATCATCTTTCATACTTACACAGTTAGACTTCAGAATGTTTTACGGTAAAAAATTTCATAACTTTACGATATGTTTATAAATACAGGTTGCAAAATAAAACCCTTACATTTACCTTGATAAAGTCCATCAGGGGAAAGCCGTTTCTCTTTATTCAAACACACACACACAAAAACACGCACACACATATCCTCACACACGCACACACGTGTGTGTGTGTGTGTGTGATCATAGGCCATAGAAGGGTCCCATACACACACACACACACACATATATATATATATATATATATATATATATATATATATATATATATATATATATGTGTGTGTGTGTGTGTGTGTGTGTGTGATCTTCATACGCCATAAAAGGGTCCACGTTGGCCCCGTTTCAACAGTGCCCGCCCATTAACGACTGGAAAGTCCACCACACACACACAAACACACACACACACACACACACACACACACACACACATATATATATATATATATATATATATATATATAGTGGTAGACTTTCCAGTCGTTGATGGGTGGGCGCTGTTGAAACGCGCTTACCGTGGACCCTTTTATGGCGTATGAGGATCAGGCTACTCAGTTCATAGGAAACGACAGCCACACAACCTTCACATATGTTTTGATTATAGGGTGAACATTCTAATATATATATATATATATATATATATATATATATAAATAAAAAATGTGTGTGTGTGTTGTGTGTGTGTGTGTGTGTGTGTGTGTGTGTGTGTGTGTGTGTAACGAATGCACAGCCACAATTTCCGACTGATTTGCACCAAAAATTACATGCACATTCTCCACGTTAGGGAGAAGGCCAAGACCGACTTTGCATTTCGCAACTCCCATCGATAGTGGAAATACTCGATTTTTCATGCTTCTGCGGCAGTTTTCATGTAGTTTGCGATCATTTTGTACTGGCCAGAGTGAAAGCCAATAGCTGGCTGCCACGAATAGGCAGGAAGATTATATTGGCCAGCGTGAGAGACAAAAAGTATTTGTTGTTAACATTCTTTTTTCATTCGGTTTCTCCAGTTACGAGTCCTTTTTTAAAGCTGATCGTTTTGTGTTCATTTTGTTTAGTTCTTTTTTCGTAACAGATTTAATGTTTAGTATAGAGCTTAGAAAAAAATCGCAGTGTGAGATAGACAAGAAGTAAGGCATGTAGCAACATCAGCACGGCAAAGAGCACTCCTTTAAAGACAAGGAAGGGCAAAAATATTTTAAGTCAAGTGATAGCGATTGCTGTATGAGTCGTAGGATTTTTAATCAAACACGGGCAACGCTGAGACATCCTGCTATATATATATATATATATATATATATATATATATATATATATATATATATGAATTGAGGCTCAGGATATTCCTTGCATACTTTTCATGTTTTTATTTAGTTGACTGTTGCAAGCATAATAAATTTTCTAAAAAATTGCAAAAGTTCGGCTCCTCATATAGCTTTTGCCGGTACCGTTTATTGAATAGATTTTTTTTGAACCGAATTTAATTTTTAACTCCACCGGACATTAATGATTTCAGAGCGAAAATCACCAATCATTTAGTCGTTGCAACTGATAAAGATTTTTAGTACTTTTCTCTCGTTTTATTGCTTTATGTCTGTTGCACCGGTCAGATGATACCAACTATAAGTGGGGTCATGTGTGCTTGAAACATATTTTTACTTTAACATTTTTTTCACTTTGACGTGTTAATAGTAGCGTATACTGTAATTCTTCATGTATAATACGCATTTTTTATAAAAAGAAATAATAATCAAAAACAGGCCAGCGTATTATGCACAGCTACAAAAATATCTTAAAAAAATTGCCGTTTCATAGATCGATTTCAGTTGCGAAATGTTTATGTTTACGCTTAAAACCATTTTTTTAATGAAAAATTACATAGAGATCCGGTAGATTGCACTTTTTACCGAACAAAAACAGGTTAATGAGTCTGCGCAGTAGGCACAATTTAGGTATTTCCGTTTCCTTTTAGAATCGTGATGATCGGAAATTTTGATAAATATCTTCAATTACAGCTTGAATAAGAGTAGGAAACGCTGGCCGTAATGATATTGAAGAAGTACGTTTTATAGGGTTTGATTACCAAACAAGGCGTGCGTATTATGCGTGAGTAGAAGCATTTTCCCACACATGGATGAAGGCGTATTAAATATACGGAATTACGTATACGAGAATGTGAGAGAACGATATCAAGAGTATTAAACAGTAATAATAACAATAACTAATATAAAATAAGTAATAAAAAAATGATAAAATGGATACATGAAAAAGTATATTGTCTGTAAAAAACCGAATGAGTGTAATGCCATTTTTTTTTAGCGTTTCACCCCAAGCAAGGCGGGAAGCCACTAGGACGCAAGGGGTTACAGAAAATTTAGAGCAAGATCAGATAGGAATAATAGAAGAAAGGAGAAGGATAGTGGTAGATCAAGGCAACTGGAGATGTCGATTGACATTACACTTGAATAGCTGAAGATTATAGCTCTCAGGGAAACTGGAATAGGGAAGGGAGTTCCACAGGCGAGATGTGCGAGACGTGAAGCTATTGGAGTAGAAGAGACGGCTACATTTAACAGTTTCAACAGTGAAGGGGTGAGAGCCGGATGCCAGCCTCGTCGGGCGCTTGAACTCATGAAGTCTGGGAACCAGCGAATGCAGCTCCTCGGAGCAATTGCCATGAAATTATTTGTAAAATATTAATGACTATAAAAGAAATAATAATGAAAAAGAAAAAATTAAAACGTAACAATTCTGTAAATATAAAAGAAAAATGTCTACAAAAGCATAATAATATTTCAGTTGTTATTTTTATAAAGTATAATCATTGAGAATTCCTAGGTCTTTATTTATTACTAAATTATGGCTATTAAATTTGAAAATAGAATTGCTCTCAGCTTTTCTACGATTGTTAAGAGAATTACAGAAAAAACTAGGACGCGTATATTATTGTATATATTATAATTAGGTAAGTTGATATGTGGTGCCTAGTAGAGTAATTAGAGTTGTTCCTAATTGTCTTTTTCTAATTACTGAATCGAAGACAAATTTCAGGACGAGTCTTGCCAATATAATTGTCTCTGTTACAAACATTGCAAGCAATCAAGTAGATTCCTAGGATCTGTAGTATGGTAAGTTGATAGGTGTACTATCATTGCTCTACCTGGAGGAATGTAAGGTTTATCGATGACAAAGTGCTTACAGATTGGGCACCATGATTTATTCCATGTATAATTGACTCTGGGAGAATTTGGTCATTTCCGTTTGGAAGATTTGAGTAGTGATATTAAATTGAATGGTTGCCTTCTTGTGTTAAGTTGAGTATCGTTAAATGTATCATTGATTAGGGGAACTAGATTAAGATTTTGGAAGTCTCTTCTTAGTAAATCATATAATTAAATATATTATGATTAAAATCAAATATCAAGTGTATTCATGAGGTATTTTTGTTTTTATGACAAAAATATTATTTCTAGTATGTGAGGAAATCATTTGTTAAATACACACACACACACACACACACACACACACACATATATATATATAT